ACAAAGTTACATCATAGATAAGAAATTATATTTTAGACACTATATATTTCTATTTCTGATAAGATTATTTACCTCAGTGCTGCAGCCTAGATATTGTAGGTATTTTTTATATTAAATATTTGCAGATGACACAAGCCTCCAATTTTTTGTGATATATTGTCTCTCAACCATCCCTTCCTCCCTAAAGTGAAAACAGGTGGGAAACAGGCAGTTAACAAGTGTTTCAAACATCCAGCCAGAGAAATCCCAGCACAGCATATGGGCAGGTGGGCGCTATTCATGAAGTCTGGGAGATAATGAGAGGAAAACTAGGGAGAGAATCATGTGAAGATAAGCTGTTACTGTGCCTTTGTGGTGGTATGTGTGTGTGCAAGTGTGCGTTGAAGAGGGAGGGGACAGGTAAAAAGAATTTGTGTGAGCTTTTCTAAAAAATGAGCAAAAAAAAATAACAGAAATTTATCAGTAAAATAATACAGTATATGGTAGTGTGTTCAGTGACACAATGAAAACTGAATTTTGATGTTTCTTATGTGGTAATAGGAGCTGGCGATGATGGATAAGTTGCTCATAAAGAGGATAAAGAAAAGTTATTGTAAATATTAGTTATATGTTAGGAATGGCTTCACAGGCTGCAGTATGAAAAGTTGAGGTTTAGTCCAACAGAAGATTTTAACTTTGTAAAGTCAATCTATTGCTAGTATAAAAAGAAGCACTAAAGGAGTAGCTAAAATATAAAGAAATGATGAGTGCAGTATGGTTGGGAGGTCTTGGCACAAATGAAGCTTTTTGGAACAAAACCTCTTTACAAAAGAGTAAAAATATACAACAATTGTGTTCCCTGGAGGTACAGTAGAAGATATACCGAGGCAGTGTCGCTTCCAGCAGGGAATATGGATGAATATGGTCTTTAGGATGTGCATTTAGGATGATAGTCATTATTTGAGCAACCTATCCCCTGCTGCCTTCACACAAAAACCACAACAGTGATACTGCCAGAGGCTGACCATGATCAAACATACCAACACATGTCCTGCCAACAAACAAAGTAACTGTTTCCTGATGGTAAAGCAACCATGCAGTGAACATCAACATTTTGGGGCTTTCCATATATGTTTAACAACGTCCACTCAGTATGATGATGCAGTTGGGGTAGAATCAATTTTCACCGTTGCAAACTAGACAGATACCTATGTATAGAAGTTTTTCATAAAACAAGAAAGTTGAGAAAGAAATATTACTGACTTGGCAAAAAGGACAGAGAAAATTAGGACATCTACAGGGAAGCTAAGAAATGTGAGATGAAAACAAAGATGAAGTGGCACCTCAGAGTCATCAGGCCAATCAGCACTGGCTGTAGACCTGAAATATTATGTGGTCCAATGCTCAGCAGTCAGTTTAGTGAACTTGCTGTGCCACATGAGGATGCAGCCAGTGAGGCATGAGGAAGGAACGAAGAGGAGGAAGCTACTGTGAGCTGGCTGACCAGCTAGGCTGGACAGCCTGGAGATACACTGCAAAAACTGGGTGCTATGAATTAGTAACTGCAGTGCATCTGCTAATAGCTGACAGTAATATTATCACATCTTACTATTGCTACAGCTGATGCTACACTATTCATGTCTGCAAATTGTAGCCTACGCTCAGTGGGATCCACTCGAAGAAGTCATTTTGAGTCCAATACTTTGTACTAGTGATAGATAAACCGAGACTTTCTGACACATTGAATCAACATGAAGCCATTGTGTTGAAAATGGTTCACTGTTTCGAAGCATTTGAGAATGGTCTCTTCCGCTGGCCAGACCCATAATACTGCATTTGTACCGGTGGAATAAATTTGCAACCATGCAGAAACAGTTAGAATATATGTGGTCTTAATGCTTTTATTAATGTTATTTAGTTTAATAAAGCTAGTGTTATGAAAATGGGTCACTTTTAAACTGATTCTACAACTTTTAAATATTGGGAAGTTCAGGTAGCATTCAAAACTGAGCGACACCTTGCTGATACCAGTGTGACGTGGCGAGGCCTCATTTGGGGAGGTCATGTCACACTTGTGATTGTTCACGTGGTGAAGCCAGGTATCAAAACATTGTGCCGCGTTACTTCTGCTTTGAAAGGTTGATACGGCGTCAAGCCTTCTACTTCGAGCATAACATCGCTACTTTGTACGTCTGCTTCAGTCCAGATTTTAACAGTAGGCCCACTAGCTTAGATCACACCAACTCACAGCCCTACTCCCACCCACCAGCATCTAAATTGAGTCCAGAATCAGCTGAATCAAAATGACTTTTTAAAGAGGATCTTTTGAAGCAGCGCCTCCACTAGGCCCCTAATCAGCCCCCCTGTGTGGCTTTGTAGCAGGGGAATAAAGGAGTGTGAGCTACAGAGAAAGAGGAAAGCGAGAATGGACCTATCTGCATTCCATTATGTTGTTTTCATCCCATGATGCAAAGAAATTGTATGAAATCTCTCCTGTTCAAATAGGAAACTGATAAGGCAACTACTTATATTTTAATCTAAAAGAATAAGAAAATGTTGACTGCAGGAGACAGATCGAAGAACCGTAGAAAGTGTGAAGAGAGGGAAAGAGAGTTACAGTAATCAAAGTCAGAGCCTCGAGATAAAAAGAAGCAATGACCTAACAGTGGGACTGACTGTGAAAGAGGAAAAAGGCCATCGCCATACAGAGAGATGAAGAGGAAGCAGAGACAGCAGCAGACAGCGAGAGACAGGGGGAAGACAGAGAGAGAGGACTGGCAACAAGATCACAAGAGAGAAGGAGAAATAAGACTGGGCATTTGAATTGAAAAGAAATGGGTAATGAGATGCTAATGTAACAACAAAGGAGTTAGGGCCCTGTGGGGGGGAGCAGGCTACAGCAAGCTGCTTCTGTAGCAGAGGGGGGAATTTAATTTAAAAATGCCCTTTATTAAACTACTGCAATGCACATTGATGCATTCCACATCATCCCACCTCTATTTTAAAGCAAATAAAAACAAGAGGCACGCCCCCTAAAAGGGGGATGGTTAAGGTGACAAAACTGGGAAAACACCTCAGGTCCAAGACTGTTCATGTCACCCTCTGGTCTGTGATATGAGGTTACATGAGGTCTACTACAAGGTTCACTAACCCTGAGAAGGAGCAACTTGGAGGAAGGTGATGAAAAGAAACAAGAGGAGAAATAAAAAAAGAAATGATGGAGGCCCAAAAAGAAACTGGAAGCTGGAGAGAAGCACTGAGGAGAAATGAGGATAATGTAGGTCTTTGCAGCAGCAGGTAGGCTTTTTAGTTGGAGGAGGGGATGAAGCTTTACAAGTGGAGTGATGGAGAAAATTACAGTGCAAAAGGAAATAAGTGCTGGAGAGGAGTAATGTGCAGGATCTGGGCAGTACTCAAGAGACCCTCAAAGAGAATAGTGAAGGAGGGGACGAGCACCACTGACAGATACAGTACAAGCTTAAAGATATTATAGATGCATTATAAAAAAATTAGAGAACTGGAAGTCACTATAACAAAATCTTCACCAGGATGCTGAGAATGAGCCCGCACCAAAGAACAATGAAATAAAATACAAAGGGACCTAAATCCTGTAGAGGCTGTGGAATATTTGTGCTATAAAGAGATACCGTGCTAACAGAGGTGTGCTGAGGAGCATTGTTCTATAGCAAGAAAAGTAGGGTTCATGCAGTAGATGTGGCACAAAGATCAGATGAAAAAAGCTATAGAATGCTCTCAAGAGGATGTTGTGAATGAGTGAACAAGCACAAAGAAAGAGAAGATGAGCCAGGTGAAAGAAAATCCTGCAGGAGATTCAGGGGGTGGGTGATGCTGCAAAGAAAGACACTGTGAATGACTTTTCACTTTTCACAAGGTCTGTGTTTATGCAAGTTTTTCATCCAGTTGCACAGAAAAACATCCCCATCTGTCCTCACTTCTACAGCAAAACCTGACCATCTGACTTACCCAGCCGACTTTCTGCTTCACCTTTTCAGTCAACAGTTTTCACCGACCATAAACTTTGATATTTTAACCTATATAAAGTGCAACATCACATTTTTACGCTGGATTCAAAAGCAAAGACTCTATTGTAATGCCTAAAGAACTGATAATTCAGCTCATCCAGCTATCATTGGTGTAGCTCGGAGGACCGCAGGCTTGGAGCATGTTAGCGCTGGTATGCGCTAATTGGGTTTCCGTTCGTAATCAGGCCAATTAATTAGGAAATGAAGCGGAGGCCATGAGCGCTCCGCCAGGTCATTTAGAGATTACAGGAAGAAAAGAAAAGTCGTGGGAAGTGGGAGAGTAGGAGTAAGAAAGGAATCGAGAAGCTTATGACAAAAAAGTCACTCGAGAAGGCCTCCCTCCATTGTCATGCTGAATGTTATCACTAAGTGATTTATGGACTGATGGTAATTGTGACAGTTTAATATTATTATTATTATTATTATT